GAAGTTTTGCAGATTAGAGGACCGAGTTTCGGCCGAAAGGGGCGGCTGGAATCGTGCCAAACGCCGTGGGATATATCGTTGCAAACGGCTCTTTGCTAAAACGTGGACAATGTACAGCGCACGACATAATCCCCGTTTCCCCTGACTTGACCGGGCTTATCGAAGGGACTGGCTATTGTGGTGGTTTTATGTTGCGGTCAAAATCCTTGTGGGCTAATTAACTCTTCCATCCTTCGTTGTCGGGACTTACGGGACTTACTTTTTTACTCCGTGAACCTTTGCGCCACGCATTGTTAAATTTTTAAACGGATGTCGTAAATTAAGGAAGAGAGAGAGAGAGTAATGATCAAAAGTCACGTTAGAATGTTTCCCGTTAAATTGAAAAGTTAAGACCCACGCAACTAAATGAAAACTAATGTCTCTCCGGGAGGTATTCAGTCTGTGGCTAAGTATTATCGTCTCTTAAAACTTTGCATATAAAAACACTTTAAATAAAGTAATAATAAAAGTTGAAATTTTTTCGGCACATATAAATCCTTGTTTTAATGAAATTGCTTCTACAAATTCTTCATGTAAATATTGCAAAACTTTTCTTTTTATAAATTTCTACTTCTGCGAACTTTGACAAAATTATTTCTATCGTAAATATTTGTATTTATTTTAGTAAATTGATAAATAGAAATAAATACGGTATAATCGCGAGAGTTTACATTGGAAATTGATTGTACACGTGAAATTATATCGAAAGATTAATTTAAATTCTTCATAAGAGAGAAAATATAAATATACTGAAATTAATAAACATAATTAAAAAGGTGTTAACACGCGGAGAATAGTTTTTAGCGTTTTAGACAGCTGTCACGTATACTCAATACCTATGTCAACCTGCAATGTCTCATAACTGTAACTAGTATGGTTATTGTGCTAGGAAGTTCAGGCTTTGCCGCGGAGCAATAAACTGGTTAACAAGATGTAACTAGTAACATTTCACGAACTAAGCACACAGCGGAACTTATAATTAGCGAACGATGCACTAGACGGCACTACGATAATTAAGAGATTCTATGAAATTTTACGATAAATTCATGTTGGTCTCACGTCAAAAGTGCATTTGCTTTAACGAGAAATATGGTAGAGAATACCAACGTCAAAGAACGTTACAGTGTATCACACGGCACAGTTAACTGTATAATCTCAAGTCGTGTAATGAACTTATAATCTGTTCATTAATTCATAGAATGTTAATATAGTCATTAATTCATCACCGGCGCTTTGTGGCGGACGCTAATGCACACGACGTTTCGCTAGATATTTCACAGCGAAAGTTTAATTTTCGAGTCTTTCCTGCAGTTTACCAACTCGCATTATATCACGATCCCCGATTTAAATTAAGCTCGAAAATAAGCAAAGCAGAGCAGAATATTATTTATCCTGTTATCAATTATGATCAGGGAAGTGGAATTAAAATCAGATGTAATTTCAGATAAACAAGCAGATTTAGAGACACATGAAATTAAGAATACAAAAGTGACGTGAGGTCTCCTATTTATAGTTCAAAAAATTCAATTTATTAAAATTAGATTTACTCATTTTTAGGCATTTCGATCCAAATAATACGTAATGCATAATTGCTTAATTCTATATTTTCAGATTTTATATTTCTATTGCAATATCCACGATATCATATTCTGAAATTTCTGATCATTTCCTATTTCGTATCTTCTCCACGCCCTTGTTTATTACATCCAGTTTGGCATTACTTTTGTTAATCTAGCAACCGCACGTTAGCGCATAAACGCATATATACATTACGCGCTTGTCATCATTCCGACATAAATGGGAGATTTCCCATAATGGGACATATAGAATATGGCATCTGCGTGAATCCTAATATTAATTCATAGACACGAGGCGCGGTTGATGGGCGTATAAGCGAGAAACTCCGAAAACACATGATATATCGAACTTTTTGTATTACGAATACATGAATCTCTTGGATAATCCCTGTCCTTCCCACAGAGAACGGCCGACATTGATCGAAGAGTCACACGTTCTAATTTTTCCATCCTTGCGCGGCAATCAGAATTAAAAGTGGACAATTATACTGCCGTATACGGGGCGTGTATATGAATTTTCATCGCGACACGCTCGGAGTGCAACCTACTCCCCTGTGCAGTATCGGTTTCTAACATGTAGATGTCCCAAGCGCATCCGAGTGCAGCGAAGGCTTTGCATATTCAAAAGTTAGACGACGCTCATACTGGAGCAATGCAATTTCGTTTTATTGATTCCTCGCTACCGAAAAGTTGCTCTATATTTTATGAATAACGACCGCCTATTTTCTTCGTCATAGTACACGACTGTCAAATAAATTTTGACAGCTAAAGGCCGTCGACAAAGCATACTGACTTACAATGACGGAAATGAACCCCATGTTAGTGTACATAAACTGGCCTAGTTTAGTCCCTTGTTTACATCGCCGTAAAATTACTCGTTTGAATACGTTTCGGAATGTGTGGAACAAATCAATTCGCGTTTGAATGCACTCGATTAAACGTGCAACACGAGAATTAATGAATAATCGATAAAGTGTGATGCAAATAGATACTCTAGGATTTCAAATTGTATATATATCTATTTAAGAAAGCGTTTAAAATAATATAAATAATGTAGTTCGTTTTTTTAAAATGCAAAAAAAAAGAAAATTAATTTGTATGTAGAACTGTATTAAAGTATCTTTTATGGCATTAAAAAAAGAAATAAATAAAATTATATTTTTATAAGAAAATTCTAAAATGAATACTGCAATGAAGTTAATTTTTGTATTTTTTGTAAAAGAATTTTATACTTCATAATTCATCGTAATACATTACATTATAATTCTGCTTTATCAATTTTTGTAATGATGCCATGCGGAATAATTTTCGTCCTGTTCATTCTAAATATTTTGAATAAATCGATTTCCAATAATATGCCGAATAAAAATTGATATTAGATACTTTAGAAAAACTACAAATTAACAGATAAATTCCTCACAGATAGATTCCTCCTTTTTCCTATTGTGAAAGCGTCCTTCATGATAAACTAGAAAATTCTTTAATTATCAGAATTCCATTTCCTATATATTACAGAAATATTTTATTTTCCTTGAATAACAGTTACAAAAAATTGTTTTTTCAACGTTTATAATATTTGTATTTTGCATATTTGCCGAAATTATGTTTCTGACAGAAATTAAATTTCTAAATAAATTACATTCCAGGAATTAGTCGTAGAATCAGTCGTGTTTTAGGAAAATTTATATTTTAAAGGTTTAGGTATGTAGAGAGTAAAACAATAAATAGAATAAAAAAAAATAAAGCAATAAAATTTTCTACGTTTTTTTATTTGATATTAAAATCGATTGAATTTAATATCAATAACAGGAATCGCCAATATTTTCTACGTATTTTGTTTTCTTTTTTGTGTATCATTATTGCAATGGTACAGCATCCACAATTATTAGAGACAGTTACTAGAAATCGATCGAAGACTTTATTTGTTGACGACGTTTTTAAGAATGCAAGGAAAATGCAAAAACAAATGTAAGTGCATTTTCAATGCTGTTCACGTGTCGTTCCGACGCGACGGTCACGTATTTTCTCCCACACGTTTCAGGTTGACCGTAAGTTTCAACGTGCGGAAACGTCCAGCATATGTGCAAATGGTTTTAATTGCCAGCATAAATTATATCCGCGTTATTTCCATACTTCGTTAGTTGATACTTAACTATCAAATTTCTGCACGCAACTCTCTAACGACGCTCTTAATTTCGTAGAAATAAATATAAAATTAATGTCTCATGTGTGTAAATGGTGAAACTAATAAAAAAGTAATGTTTTCAAAGAATTTTTTTGCAAAACGTAATGAAGTTTCTATTTTACCTTCTGACCTACTTCTTCTTTGCGACGACAAACAAAGTGATTAAAATCCTCGTCGATTGGAATAATCATTATCGCAATGGTACATTTTTTATAGCAGCGGCAATATATGTATTATAAAATTTTCATTGATGTTGAGTAATGGCGGCTGGATTACCGAGCGCAGTTTCGTCTGAATAGGAAGTAAATTACACACCCAATATAGTCAGCGACGATACGTGGGAAACAGCTGAAGTACACGACGAATTTCAGTCTATATCGCGCAACTAATCCTTCTTTCGTGCTACATCGTTACAGAATGATTCAGAGAACTTCTCATAATTCTCCACTTTCGTTTCATATCATGTTTTCATCGCTTTCTTACCGAACAAAATTTTACACACAATTAAAAGTGCATATAATATATATATAAAGTCGGTAATATAAAATTTAAAATAATTTATAAGCTATATAGCTATTTATAATTTATGTAGCTAAAATCGCATCCTAAAGCGGATTAGGAACATCAAAAGAAAGTTTTAAGCATTATGTAATATTAAGAAGAATTTGTAACTATGACTTTAGAAGATATTTCTTAAATTATTTATACGGGTCTGAGCGTCAAGTAGCATTAAAAATTTTTAGTTTGTCTAATATTTTCAAAGAGAAGTCAGAGAATACGCTCATCACAAATTATATAAACTATGAGCAACGAATGAGAAAATGAAAGAGAGAGAGAGAGAGAGAGAGAGAG